TAAAAAATTAAATTTCTTTAAAAAGTACAAAAATGTATACATAAACGTTCCCAAAAATGTGTTCAATTCAAAATCCGGAGATAGGGTCGAAACTTTATGAAAGATTTTCCCAAAAATTAAATACTTTAGCAAAAATTTTTTAAACCGAAATAATTACAGATTTAGAGATTTTTTCATATTTTAAAACAAATTTTTGGGGGAAATTTGTATGGGGAATAAAAAGTGTCCTATCCCTTTTTTTTTTGCTTTAAAAAAACCTGAAGAAAAACTTTTGCTTTCCCCCCCAATCCTTTTTGCGAAAATCACACGTGAAAAATTTTTATCCCATCCGTGCCCCGAACCTTCATTTAAACAGGGTTTGGGTTCCATTCATTTTATTCAAAAATATCAACATTTTTGAGAAAAAAATTAAAAAAAAAATTGGATTGCCCCATTGTTTTTAAGTAAAACATAACATTTTTTTTGGAAAAGGTTTGATTTGAAAATTTTTTAAAAAGATTCTCTAAGAAACTAAAGGAACTTTTAAAACCCAAATTCCCAAACGAAATTTTTGAAAAATGTGTGTTTGTAAAATCTCATAAATAACTTTTAAAACCAAGACATGTTTTTGATTTTAGTTGGCGTTTTTCCCCCTTTTGAAAAAAAAACCCAGAAACTTTAAATTCACCGATTTTACTGTCAATTTTAAATCAAAAAATAAAACGTAAAAAGGGTTTAAAGAAAAAATTAGATTTTTGGGAAGAGTAACCCGGGAAAATCTTGGTACAATTAAAATTGCACGAATAAAAACGTGCCCTCTATAACCCCTTTAACCCTTCAAAAATGCTTTAAATTTTAAATTTTTAAAAAGCTTTTTTTTATTTTTAAAAAAATTTTTCCCAAAATTTTATTTTTTGGGCCAATTACCTAAACCCAACCTTTCCATCCTGTTGTTTTTTTTGGAAAGAAGTACGTATAGTAATTAGTTTTTTGTTTTAAACCCTTTTGTTTACATTTTGCCCTTTTTATGAAAAAATTTTAAAATTTATTTTTTCACATTTACCCGAAACTTTTTTTCGGAAAAAGCTTTATAACTTTCTAAAACAATAAATTTTATTATATCATAAAAATAAAAAACAATTTTTGGCCTTTTTAAAAAAGAAAAAAACATTGTTTTTTTTTAGGAAATTTTGTCCCATTTTCTAGCAAAAATCACTTTGTTTCGAAAATTCTTTGCCCTGGAACCCTGCAACGCTTTGGCATGAGTATTTTTTTTAATAAAGAGGAACACGTTGGGGCCTTTTTTAACGGGGAAAGCTTTCGGAAATTTCGTCAAGTACCTTTTTTAAAAAGGGCCAAAAAGTTTAAAAATTAATAAGATATCAATTGACAATAAAAAAGATATTTTTGCTCATTTAAAACGAAAAAATATTTTTTCATAAATACTGTTTTGAATGAAAAAAAAACCGGGGATATATTAGAAATATTAAATGTGTTTCAGAAAATAAAACGGGGTGAAAAAATTTCTTATGTGAACTTGGGAGCTTTGTACTATTTTAATTAAACCAAAGTTAAATAAAAAAAATTTAATGAAGCTATACGCTATTTATTTTTTGAAAACAAAAACTAAAAAACCCTTTTTAAAAAAATCAATTTTTTTTCTCATGGCTTTAAATTTTTGGGAAACAACAATTAAATTTTTTCCCTAAAAACGGATATGACATCCCCCCAAAAAATTAACATGCACACGCGTGGCATACCGTTTCTACGAGACAATAAACAATAACAACAACCAGCAAAAGCAGCAACAACAACCAATACGCAACAAAAGTTTTATATTTACGAGCCAATGTAAAGGAAATTCTTTACTTGCATCAACATAGATTGTTATTTCAGTCGTTGCTGAGAGAACAGGATCACCTTTATCCGATACAGTTACTTCCAAAGTATAAGTCGATTTAGAAAACTGAATGTTTAGTTGTATTTTTCCGCTAGATTCCTCTATCTTGAAAATGTCCCCGTCATTTCCAGCTGTAAAAGGATGCAAAGCGTACTTTAGTCAAAAGAGATACTTGAATAGATCTCTAAGTCTTCTAAGTTTACTGTCTGACATCATCAACAGCTGTGATGATATCTTAAATATCTACGTGTATATATGTTGTTTTGTTTTGTTATTTGGCGCACCAACACAGTTAGGTAGGTAAGGTAAATATATATGTCATTACTTTTGACTGTAGAATGGGGGGAGGGGTACTTTGCATTTATTACCATTCGGCATTTGTAACAATTCGGTATTTGTAACCATTATGTATTTGCTACTATCCGTTCGGAATTTGCAACCGTTCGGCACTTATTTTTGCAACTATTCATTCGGCATTTTGTTACCATTCGGTAATTTAACCATCCGGTATTTGCTACCTTATGGCAATTGTTACAGAAGTATGCAGTTATCAAGCGCATTGCATTTTTACTGTCATTTTGATATAGCTCTGTTTTACAACGGTTGAAACTTAAAAAAACGAGTTGGACATTCTACAATATCAGTCTATTCACATTCCTCTAGCATATTTGTAAAAATAATAGATGTTCGTGGTGTCTGTCTCAGAGTCTATGAACACTTATCATTTACATAACAAGTCAGTTTAAGTTTCAAAATGAATAGTTTTTCAAGGGTATACTGACATATAGCTTTATATATTAAATTCTGTATAAATATTATTTGCAATCATTAATCAATGACTTGGTTTTAAATTTAAACAACACATACAGATTTTATTTACAACTAGCATATTCAATTTCAATTGATATTATTTAATTGTGAATTATTTGAATTCAGCTTTTTGTTACAGAAGACTGCAAACATGAACAACATTGTTGCAAATATTATTTGACATATTTATACTTACATGTTATCGCGTAAACAAGTTCATTATTAGGCTTAGATATGTCTTTATCTGTTGCCTCTATTTTGTCAACAACAAATTCATCTACAATAAATTCACGTCATCAATGGCAATTGCACAATACAACTTATTGAACTTGCTACCTGTTAAGTAGGTCTACCAATAAGTGCAACTTAAATACTTGATTTCAATTTTTTAGTTAAATCAGTTCTTTTCTAATTTGTATATGAGTGTTTTTATTTTCATAGTTATAATGTATAACCAAAAGGTATAATAGTGCTTGGCATAAAATAGTGTCGTGAAGATAAATCTACTGATGACCCTGACGGTTATTTGGAAAATTCTATTTATTTCGGAAATATCATTGTAACTTTTATCTCGAAATAATAACTTCTGGTCATTTAAATCACTTCACTTACCTACAGCTAATGTCTCTGGTTTAGTAATATCCTCTATTGCCGTTATAGAAGGTTTGTTATCATTAACATCTAAAACATTTATTGTTAACTTCTCACTGGTAACGATAAAGTCACCATCAGTAACTCTGAAATATTGAAATAACAAGATTGACTTTATCTTCATCACAAAATTATTTTATGATTATTTTGTAATGAAAGGGGAAATGTGGTTACAGATCTGACTTGGAACAGTCTAAATCAATAAGAACATTTTGACATGATTTTGTATTTCTAAGCATTGTGTTATTACATAGACAAAATTAACAGGAAATACCAATTCAAAAAATGATAATAAAAATTCTGAAGGCCAGTTCATGCTAGACATTTACAAGATATGACTGAAAAGATTTATCGTAAATAAAAAGAAAACTTTTTATAAAGACACCATTGCAATGGAGATTTTCTTACACATGCATTTATACAAATACATACTTACATTACAAAATAACTTAAGTCTATTGAAAAAAGAATAATGTCAATCATCAGATTTAAGTTACATTTGACGAAGAATTCAGGTAACAATTATGTATCCTAAATATCTTTGAGTGAGCAATATTAGTTGTTGTTAAATGTTTATGTTGAAACTAAATAATTTTCTGTTTGCATATGACTGTACCTCCTTAAACAACGTTAACCCTTCACAAACAATAAGAGACTGTTACACTTTTGTTAACCTAACATTATAAAACTAAACAGTAGAACACCAGAAGCGATGTACTATCTACATCTTAACTTTCAGTTTATTTCCGAAATGCCATATTTTTATGTAAAGGGTTATTAAAGTTGATTTGAAGAAACACACAAAGCATGCAAATGAACAAATGCTTGTAAAAAGTTTTATTCTAATATTTATACTTCATTGATAAATACTATAAATGAAAATACGCCTATCTAACGTGAACATACTTGAATGTCACTACATAAGCTGTTGTAGTCTCGGCATCAAAACTATTTGTGTTTGTTTTAAGTGTATCTCCATCCATTTTAAACATTTCTCCTGGCGGCTGACTTGCAATTTCTATTACACCGTTCCAAGTATCATCTGAATCCTGTACCGTTACTTGAAATACCGATGTACCATCACCAACATTCTCCTTAATCTCTCTTGTTACCGCCTCAGCAATATTCCTGAACACTGGCTCTAAGTTATTAACGTTTATATACATGTTAACATATGCTATCAAAGGTCAATATATCTAGCTTATAAATGTTAATGTGCTAACATGCAAGAAAGTCAATTCAAAATTAATTTAATGCTTTTCCACAAGCCTTCATAGTTTTTAACTTTTCTTCTCCTTGCTTAAAGAAATGAATCAGGCCCCTATTCTTATTTGTTTAGTATAACAATTTGTTACATTTATGTGACTACTTATGATACATGTGATGGCATTTACCTTCGCTATATTCTGGTAAATCATCGCAAAAAGACATATATAATATTTATTAACCATAGTCTTTTGACAAATTTTACACTTTATTAAGTATATGTTTTAAAACTTATTCTTTTAATTTTAATGTTGTTTAAAATGGAATGCCTTTTCATCCTTCAAATAAGGGGCAAAGAAATTTAATAGCAGATGTCTTGTATTTAACATTGATGAAACTGTTATGCGAAAATCCTTTTGCTTATCATTTATAAAAACGCTGAAAGCTGATTTGTCAACAATTTTCAGCTCTAGCTCAGATGTTTTTTTCTCTTTAGTGCACTCTGAAAAAATAAATGAAATATGATAAAACTGATGCCTGCAAGAATAGTTATCTTGACATTCTGTGATGCAGACTTGTCACCGTTATCCTTAGCTGTCACAGTTACTTCATATGAAGATTTTGAGTCATAATTTAACTCTGCTGCAACTGTTATTTCTCCACTTGATTCGCCAATTTTAAATTCAGTCACTGATCCTTAAAACAAAAGTAAAAAAGGTGAAAGTAATTTAATAATAAGAAAATATTACTTTATGAAAGTTTGTTAAATTGGATAGTATATCCTTGATATTTTTCAATTTAGATAATACACCTTACACACATAAATATACGTTTAATATCCAGTGTGTACAATGGCCACTGGCAGTGATAAAAGAAAACATATTATCCCAGACTATCACTCATATTTATATCTGCTAAAATCGCAGAATTGAATTGTAAAAACTTAATTTTCAACCCAATAAAAACTATCATTCTTAAGGATTTTACAAAACAGTTCAGCCAGTGATTTTTATTAAATTATCAGATCAACCTGTAGCTTAAAGGGGATAAATATAGAATAATAAATTATAAATGGGGAAAAGCTGGAATCAAACACCAACAACTGAGAATGTAACAAATTTTTACTTTAAATCAAATTTTCCATTTCATATTAAGATTTAGAGCTGTTTATTTTATTATTGAACTTTATTTTATTGCAGTTACAGGCTTTGTTGTTCCAGCGGAAATCATGATTTTATTTTAGGGAAAAAATAGCATATTTTGAATTGGAGAAACTATCTGTTTGCTAGAGCAAAAAACCTTTTAAAGACTAAAATATACAAAAATAATCATGGACCCATTTCAAACTATACATATACATACTGTTTTAGATCATTACTGATATACATGCTAGATATGTTCTAAAGACATAGGTTGTGTAATTTTGATGCTAAATATAGCCTCTTCGTCACGTGGTTTAATACGCCTACAACAAGTATTTATCTGTTCCTTTTTCTTCTGACATTCCTGGTAACACTTTTTAGAGGAAACATACCGGCTCTTTCTGTCCAGTATGTGATAAAAATAATCAACAAAACATCAAAGCAATTTATTTAAATGAATAAAAATTCGAAATACTGACAACTCATTGCTTAATCCATATATACTTCACTTATCTAAAAATAATATTTCCATCGCAGTCATTTACTGAAATATGTGAATATGTCTTATTCATTTAAGAAAAGGTACAAACTATGCTTGAGAAGCTACATTATCTATTACGGGTCAAGATAATTGGTCCTTTCTTACAAAAAAAAAATTAAAAAAAAAGAAAATAAACAACGCAAAAAAGCAACAACAAAAACAAGAGGGCCATGATGGCCCTGAAGTCGCTCACCTGTATATAGGTCCCCGGAGCAGGGCCAGTTTAAACCCCAGGGCTTTTATTTGAACAAACTTGGAAGACACCCATTAGAAGATATTTCATGCTTAACATCTAAAGTCTAGCTGGTCAAGTTTTTTTCTTTACACATATAGATAAAAACAATGACACACCTGGGGTAGGGCCAGTTTTGACCTAAGGGCTTTTATTTGAACAATCTTTGTAGACACTTACTAGAAAATGTTCCATGCTTAATATCTAAACTCTAGCTATTCGGGTTTTTTCAAAGAAGACTTTTAAGTTTTTGCTATACACATGTAAGGAAAATCAATGTCAGCCCGGGCGGGGCCAATTTTGACCCCAGGGCTTTTATTTGAACAAATTTGGTAGACATCCATTAGAACATGTTTCATACCAAATATCTAAGCTCTAGCTCTTTGGGTTTTTTAGAAGAAGATTTTTTAAGTTTGTACTATATGCATATAGGGAAAATCAATGACCCCAGGGCTTTTATTTGAACAAACTTGGTAGACACCCATTAGAAGATGTTATGCTTAATATCTTAGCTCTAGCTCTTTGGGTTCTTTAAAACATTTTTTTTAAGTTTTTACTATATGCATATAGAGAAAATCAATGACCCCCTAGGGTGGGGCCAATTTTGACCCCAGGGATTTTATTTGAATAATCTTGGTAGACACCCACAAGAAGATGTTTCATGCCAAATATCTAAGCTCTAGCTCTTTGGGTATTTTAGAAGAAGATGTTTAAAGTTTTTTCTTTTGGTTGCCATGGTAACCAGAGTTCTGCATGGAATGGAATTCTTTGAACAACTTTGTTAAGGCTTCACACAAGGAACATCCCTGTGAAGTTTCATTATGATTTGCCTTATGGTTTCAGAGGAGATGTCGTTTAAAAAGTGTGAACGGACAACGGACGACGTACGACGGACGACAGACGACGGACGAAGAGTGATCCTAATAGGTCACCCTGAGCATATGCTCAGGTGAGCTAACAACAAACTGCCAGTTTGTTAATGCCACTTCATTTTCATTTTTTTGTGTATATAAGTGTGTATAACATATCTTCTTTGTGTGCAGTCGAAACATCTTCATTTCATATTTACATGGAGGATGTGTAACAATTATAGATATCTTTATCAAAATTTAAATTGGGCAGCTTTTATGTTTAATACAGCAATATAATCATATAACATGTTACATACCAAGAGAATAAGTAACTTTGTTGTTAGTTTCCGTGAGGTCATCATCAGTTGCTGTTACAGTGAGAACTTTTAAACCTGAATCAAGAAAAGAAATCTGTTTAATCTATTAATGAATTTAAAAGCGAATTATGTGTCAAGAGAACAAAAAACACCCCCCCTCAAAAAAAAATGTTGCCTTAAACATAGCATCTTTTTGATATTACATCAACTAAACTGTGGGGATGTATACAAATTATGAAGTTAAATATAAAAAAGTAAATAAAGTTGTCGGCAGCAAGGAAAAGGTTTGAAAATGAGAATAATCAAGATCTAATTTAAGTCTTCTAATAACCTCTTACCGATTTCCGCAGTTTCTTGTACACTTGCTTCATAGGACACACCTGTCTTAAACTTAGGAGACTGTGTGTTTGAGTCTTTTATGTTTATCTCGACTTGAATAGTTTCATCATCCGTTTTATCGTTGCCATCAGAAACCCTGTTACATTATAAACAATTGACACTTTTTCCAAAATATTGGTAACCTAAAAGGTCTCTAGAGCCCCTCCCCCAAAATGCAACTTTTTTCTCTCTCAAAGACGTTTAGGTATCTTTTTTCAAAACACTAAACATTGGCCATATATCTGAACCATCTTATGCTTTTGTTCAGTTTAACATTAAGAATTGGAGCGAAATAAAAGTATAAGTTTGTCCACAGTAGCGGAAATGATCTAGAGTTGTCACATGAATATATAGAAATGAAAAGAGTTGTGACATGAACAATAAATTGATAACATTATTTTTAAGTCAGTGAAATGACTTTACAAAGTAAAAAATTACAACGACATGATTAATATATTCAATTTGATTTCAAAAACTGCAGTAATTTACTTTAATGATAGGGTGTATGACTGTACAGCATCAGCGACGTCAACGTTAAATGTGCCTTTTGTTTTAAGTTCATTATTCTCCACGACAAACTTTACTGGATCATCTGGAGTCTGTTATAAATAGAAAAGAATTTGTTTAACTGTGGTGGCTATAAAGTAAAAGGAAAATTTTTGAAATGAGGTGAACGTGTTTCATCATGTAACAAAAACAACAACAACAACTAAGGCGACGACGACAACAACAACAACAACAACAACACAAATTAGTCATAAAAAACAGCCACAAAAGCAACAAATGATTTATAAACTTGAAATATATAGTGTTTTATTTCTTGAATACATGATGTCATATTTGTTCGTTGTCCTCCATCTGATGGCAGACTGGTTGCTTCCGAAAATATTTAGTGATTAGTTTCTGTAAATATGCTAACCTAATTGTTTGCTTTGCAAATATACTGGCATAGTAGTTAATTTTTGTATGAAAGACGGTATCACAATTTTATATAACCAATAAATGTGTTTTGGCGTGAAAAAATTGATTTTCTTTGCATCAAAATCTACTAAAATAACACAGAATTCATTACAATTAGCTGATCATAAACATATTTTATAATGAATATAAAATACTAAAACACCATAATTTAGAACATGTAAAGACATGAAGCTATAAAAGTCACACATACATTCAGGAAAGTTTTTTTCTTTTACGAAATAGTGTCTGCATAAACGTTAACTAAAATTACTCCCAAACATTCTTTTCTCGATTGAATTTGCCCGGCTTACACTTTTTGAACTTCCTTTTATTACTTACGGAAATGGAAATTATATCAGGCAAAAATATTGAGCCTGGTCGGACTACACGTATATTAAACAATTCAAATTATTAAATTTTCGCATATCCATATGTATAAAACACAAACCTGTGAAACGATTGTGTATATAGGTGAATCGCCGTCTTCGTCAGAAGCTTCGAGCGTTTTTACTAAAGAACCGTCTGCACTTGCTTCAAGAACATCTATTTTGTCATTATTTATTGGTGAAGTAAATTTTGGCGCTAAATAAAAAATGGAAAAAGATGTAAACAATAAACAAGTCTAAATATGTCTGATTTTCAAAATAAATAATGCTTTTTAACAAGCCTTCATATTGTATTAGGTTTGACTTTTCTCCTCCTTGTTTTATTCCAAATGAATCAGGCACCCTATTATCATTTGTTCAGTATTATAATTTGTTACATTTAAGTGACTTTAATGGTATTTTCCTTCGCCATATTCTGATAAAGCATCGCGAAAAAGATTTTATATGGATTATACTTAGAATTTTGAAATCTTTGCACTTAAATTAACTTTATTCACATTATATGTTATTCATTCTTTTAATTTTACTGACGTTTAAGATGGAATGCCGTTGTTTTTTCAAAAAGGGGCAAAGACAATTTAGCAGCCGGCCAATAAACTGAACATTGATGAAACAACCATGCGAACATCCTATATTACAATCGAGCATTTAATACATTTGATGCGTATCAAAATACTGAATGCTGGAAATCTTTTTTGGATAATGAAAATGTCAACAATTTTCAGCTTTAGCTCAGACAAGTTTTTTTTCTCTTTTGAGCGCTCTGGAAAAACAAAACATCATTTGAATATGATAAAACTGATACCTGTAAGAATTGTTATCTTGACATTCTGTGTTGCAGACTTGCCACCGTTATCCTTAGCTGTCACAGTTACATCATATGAAGATTTTGTGTTATAACTTAACTCTGATGCAACTGTTATTTCTCCACTTGACTCACCAATAATAAATTCAGTCACTGACCCTTAAAACAAAAGTAGAAATGGTTAAAGTATTTAATGATACGAAAATATTACTCTTTAAAAGTTTGTTAAATTGGATAGTATATCCTTGATAATTTTCAATTTAGAAAATACACCTTATACACGTAAATATACGTTTAATATCCAGTGTGTACAATGGCCACTGGGAGTGATTAAAGAAAACGTATTATCCCAGACTATCACTCACATTTACATTTAACCGTCATACTGCTTAATTCCCAGAATTGAATTGTGAAACTTAATTTTCAACCCAATAAAATAATCATTCTTAAGGATTTCACAGTGATTTTCTTTTAAATTATCAGATCAACTTGTTGCTTAAAGGGACTCCACTGAGGTTAAAAAGTGTAAAAACAAAACATTTTAAAGTATTTCATTAATGAGTTGGGGCACTGTAAAGAGAAACATGTGCAAAGATAGTTTAGAAATATTATTTAAAATATACATTGAAAATCGTATGTTTATGCTTTCCTTAGCCCGATTTGAGTGAAAAGCGTTTAAATGCTTTTCATTTTGGGACATTATTTTACAATTTGAATAATTATACTGGATAAACGAAGTGCGCGAATGTTCTGAAATTTTGCTCAAAGATTAGTGGTCTAAACATACATCAAATGGTACATTTATCTGGAAAAAAATTTCAGTCCCATCATGTCAAAAAACCTCAGTGGAGTCCCTTTAATTGGGGAAAAATATAGCGCAATAAATTATAAATGGGGAAAAGCTGGAATCAAACACCAACAAATGAGAATGTAACAAACTTTACTTTAAATCAAATTTTTCTTATTCAAATTAATATTTAGAGCTGTTTATTTAATTATTGAACTTTATTTTATTGCAGTTACATACTTTTATGTTCCAATGGAAATCATGACTTTATTCTAGGGGAAAATATAACATATTTTGGATTGGAAAAACTGCCTTTTGGCTAAGGCAAATAGCCTGAAAATGACTAAAATATATAAAAAAACGGTCACTGGTAGATAATTATGGACTCATTTCAAATATACGGATACATTCTGTTCTAGATCAGTACTTATATACATGCTGATCTAGAAATGTTCTTAAGAAAACGTTGTTTAATTTTGATGCTAAATATAGCCTCTTCGTCACGTGATTTAATACGGCTATAACAGGCATTTGTCTGTTCCTTTTTCTGGCTCTCCTGGTAACACTGCATAAAGGAAACATACCGGCTCTTTCTGTCCAGTACGTGATAAAATTATCAACAAAACATCAAAGTAATTTGTTAAAATTAAGAAAAATTTAAAATGCTGACAATTCATTGCTTAATCCAGATATACTTTACTTATCTCAAAGTAATATAATTATCGCAGTCATTTACTGAAATCTGAGAATATGTCTAATTTGAGAAAGACAAGGTACAATGTTTGGGAAGCTGCATTCGCTATTACGGGTCAAGACAATTGATTCATTCTTACAAAAAATACTGATAAAAAAAGAAATTAAGAAGTTACAACAAAAAACAAATAAGTGCCAGTTGTTCAATACCACTTCACTTTCTTTTAAGTCTATATCGGTTACACGTAACATATCTTCTTTGTTTGCAGTCAAACATTCATATTTACATGGCGAATGTGTAACAATCATAAATATTTTCATTGATCACAATTTAATTTGGGCAGCGTATATGTTTAAAACAGCAATGTTATCATATAACATGTAACTTACCAAGAGAATAGGTAACTTTGTTGTTAGTTTCCGTGAGGTCGTCATCAGTTGCTGTTACAGTGAGAACTTTAAAACCTGAATCAAGAACAGAAATCTGTTTAATCTATAAATAAATTAAAAAGCGAATAATGTGTCTATAGTACAAACAAAAAACAACAACATCCCCCGAAAAAATATGCCTAAAACTTAGCATAATGAGTAGACAATTGATTTTTGTCTTCTCTGATATTTGTAACCTTTACCGCGCTTTATTTTCTTAAATTTGGACTAAACCAATTATCATATTGAGAAAAAAATCCAAAACATATACAAACTAAATACCAGTGTAGGATATGATCAGACAGCAAGGATGTGCTGGTTAATCTTGGTCTGAAATGGGTGCATTAGTAAAAATTTTGAAGAATAAAAAAGTAAGTCTTTTACGGTCAGCAGGCTTAAGACATTGTTATAATAGATTTTCGCAACTTTGGTCTTATTAAGTAAATGTATAATTATTATAAAAGTAATAAAAACTGTCATGTAACAAATTAAATAAACAGGCGATTTCCCTAGTTCTTTTTGATAGTACATCAACTAAACTGTGGGGTTGTATACAAGTTATGAACTTAATTATAAAAAAAAGTAAATAAAGTTGTCGGCAGCAAGGAAAAGGTTTGAAAACGAGAATAATCAAAAAATAATTAAAAATTCTTATAACTTCTTACCGATTTCTGCAGTTTCTTTTACACTTGCTTCATAGGACACACCTGTCTTAAACTTAGGGAACTGTGTGTTTGAGTCTTTTATGTTTATCACGACTTGAATAGTTTCATCATCCGTTTTATCGTTGCCATCTGAAACCCTGTTAAAGTATAATGAAACTCTGTTACAATATAAACAAATGACACCATTTTCAAAATGTTTGTAACCTAAAATGTCTATAAAGCCCCACAGGCAATGCATTTTTTTCTCTCTCTAAGACTATTACGTATCTTTTTTCAAAACGTTAAACATTGACCATATATCTGAACCATTTTATGCTTTTCGTGCAATTTGAAAATTTAGAACTGGAGCGATTTTGTATGGAAATAAAAATACAAGTTTGTCAACAGTTGCAGAAAACATCTAAAATTTGTCACATGAATAAATAAAAATGCAAAGATTTGTCAAATAACCATTAAATTTATAACATGATTTTAAGTCAGTGAAAGGATTTAACAAAGCGAAAAATTATAAGGACAACATTTACATATTCAATTTGATTAAATCAACTGCAATAATTTACTTTAATGAAAGGGTGTATGACTGTACAGCATCAGCGACGTCAACGTTAAATGTGCCTTTCGTTTTAAGTTCATTATTCTGCACAGCAAACTTTACTGGATCATCTGGAGTCTGTTATAAATAGAACAAAAATTGTGTAACTGTTGCTGCCTTAAAATAAAAAGGAAATTTTTGAACTGAGGTGAAAATGTATCATCATGTAACAACAACAACAACTAAGGCGACAAAAACAATAACAACAACACAAATCAGTCATATAAAAACAGCCACAAAAGCAACAAATGACTTATAAACTTGAAATAAATAGTGTTTTATGTCTTGATTACATGATGTCATATTTGTTCGTTTTCATCTATCTGATGGCAGACTGGTTGCTTCCGAAAATATTTAGTGGTTAGTTTCTGTAAATATGCTAACCTAATTGTTTGCTTCGCAAATATACTGGCATAGTAGTTTATGTTTGTATGAAAGACGGTATCACAATCTTATATAACAAATAAATGTGTTTTGGCGTGAAATATTTAATTTTCTTTGCATAAAAATCTACTAAAATAACACAAAATTCATTATAATTAGCTGATCATAAACATATTTTATAATGAATATAAAATACTAAAATATCATAATTTAAAGCATGTAAGGACATGAAGCTATAAAAGTCACACGTACATTCAGGATCTTTTTTTCTTTTACGAAATAGTGTCTGCATTAACGTTAACTAAAATTACTCTCAAACATTCTTTTCTCGATTGAATTTGCCCGGCTTACACTTTTTGAATTGCCTTTTATTACTTATGAAAATGGAAAGTATATCAGACAAAAGTATCGAGCCTGGTCGGACTACACGGAATTTAAACATTTCAAATTATTACATTTTTGGCATATTCATCTGTATAAAACACAAACCTGAGAAACGATTGTGTATATAGGTACATCGTCGTCTTCGTCCGAAGCTACGAGCGTTTTTACTAAAGAACCGTCTGCACTAGCTTCAGGAACATCTATTTTGTCATTATTTATTGGTGAAGTAAATTTTGGCGCTAAATGAAAAATGGAAAAAGATGTTAACAATAAACAAGTCTAAATATTTCTGATTTCCAAAATAAATAATGCTTTTTCACAAGCCTTCATAATTTATAAGGTTTGGTTTTTCTCCTCCTTGCTTTATTCGAAATGAATCAGGCACCCTCTTATCATTTGTTTAGTATTATAAGTTGTTACATTTAAGTGACTTTGATGGTATTTTTCTTCGCTATCGCGAAAAAGATTTCATATCTATAAATCATAGCATTTTGACATCTTTGCAAATTAACTTTATTAACAGTATATGTTATAAAATTTATTCTTTTAATTTTACTGACGTTTGTAATGGAATGCCTTTCTATATTTCAAAAGGGGCAAAGACAATTTAAAAGCAGGCGTATAAACTGAATATTGATGAAACTACCATGCGAACTCCTTTATTAATTACAATCGAGCATTTATTACATTTGATGCTGATCAAAAAGATGAATGCTGGAAATCCTTTCTTGAAAATGGAAATGTCAACAATTTTCAGCTTTAGCTGAGACAAGTTTTTTTCTCTTTTGAGCGCTCTGAAAAAACAAAACATCATTTGAATATGATAAAACTTATACCTGTAAGAATTGTTATCTTGACATTCTGTGTTGCAGACTTGCCACCGTTATCCTTAGCTGTCACAGTTACATCATATGAAGATTTTGTGTTATAACTTAACGGTGATGCTACTGTTATTTCTCCACTTGACTCGCCAATAATAAATTCAGTCACTGACACTTAAAACAAAAGTAGAAATGGTAAAAGTAATTTAATGATACGAAAATATTACTCTTTAAAAGTTTGTTCAATTGGATAGTATATCCTTGATAGTTTTCAATTTAGAAAATACACCTTACACACGTAAATATACGTTTAATACACACGTAAATATACGTTTAATATCCAGTGTGTACAATGGCCACTGGGAGTGATTAAAGAAAACGTATTATCCAAATTTACATTTAACTGTCATACTGCTTAATTCCCAGAATTGAATTGTGAAACTTAATTTTCAACCCAATAAAAATTATCATTCTTAAGGATTTCAAAAAAAAGTTCAGCAAGTGATTTATTTTTGAAATTATCAGATCAACCTGTAGCTTAATGGGGGAAAATGTAGCACAATGAATTATAAAAGGAGAAAAGCTGGAATCAAACACCAACAAATGAGAATGTAACAATCTTTACTTTAAATCAATTTTTTCATTTCAAATTAATATTTAGAGCTGTTTATTTAATTATTGAACTTTTTTTTATTGCAGTTAAAGACTTTTTTGTTCCAGTGGAAATCATGAATTTATTCTAGGGGAAAATATAACATATTTTGGATTGGAGAAACTGACTGTTGGCTAAGGCAAACAGCCTGTAAAAGACTAAAAATATATATATATAAAAACGGTCACTGTTAGTTTATTATGGACCCATTTCAAATATTCGGATACATTCTGTTCTAGATCAGTACTTATATACATGCTGATCTAGATATGTTCTGGGGACAAAGTTGTGTAATTTTGATCTCTTCGTCACGTGATTTAAAACGGCTATAACAATCATTTATCTTTTTTTTCTGACTTTCCTGGTAACACTACGACGTAGAGGAAACATACCGGCTCTTTCCGTCCAGTACGTGATAAAAATAATCAACAAACCATCAAAACAATTAGTTAAAATTAATAAAAATTTAAAATACTGACAATTAATTGCTTAATCCAGATATACTTTTCTTATCTCAAAATAATATTATTATCGCAGTCATTTACTGAAATCTGTGAATATGTCTAATTTGAGTAAGACAAGGTACAAATTAAGTTTGGGAAGCTGCATTTGCTATTACGGGTCAGGATAATTGGTTCATTCTTACAAAAAATAATGATAAAAAAAAGAAATTAAAACGTAACAACAAAAAACAAATAACTGCCGATTGTTTAATGCTACTTCATGTTCTTTTTAGTGTATATCGGTTACACCTAACATATCTTCTTTGTGTGCAGTCGAAACATTTTTATTTCATATTTACATGGAGAATGTGTAACAATCATTAATATTTTCATTGATCACAATTTAATTTGGCCAGCGTATATGTTTAAAACAGCTGCAATGTTATCATATAACATGTAACATACCAAGAGAATAAGTAACTTTGTTGTTAGTTTCCGTGAGGTCGTCATCAGTGGCTGTTACAGTGAGAACTTTAAAACCTGAATCAAGAAAAGAAAGAAATCTGTTTAATCTATTAATGAATTAAAAAGCGAATTATGTGTCAGTAGTACAAACAAAACAAAAAAACAACAACATCCCCCCAAAAATGCCTAAAACTTAGAATAATGAGGAGGCAATTGACTTATGTAGTCTCTGATATTTGTAACCTTTACCACGCTGTATTTTCTTAAAGTTGGACTAAACCAATTATCATATTGAAAAAAGATCCAAACAATGTACAAACTGAATAACAAGAATAAGTCTTTTACGGTCAGCAGGCTTAAGACATTGATATAAAAGTTTTTCTCAACTTTGTTCTAATTAAGTTAATATATGTTATAAAATTAATAATTTTAAAAGCTGTCATGTAACAAATTAAACAAACAGGCGATTTCCCAAGTTCTTTTTGATAGTACATCAACTAAACTGTGAGGTTGTATACAAGTTATATACTTGAATATATAAAAAAGTAAATAAAGTTCTTGGCAGCAAGGAAAAGGTTTGAAAACGAGAATAATCAAAAACTAATTAAAAAATTCTTATAATTTCTTACCGATTTCTGCAGTTTCTTTAACACTTGCTTCATAGGACACTCCTGTCTTAAACGTAGGGGTCTGTGTGTTTGAGTCTTTTATGTTTATCACGACTTGAATATTTTTATCATCCGTTTTATCGTTGCCATCTGAAACCCTGTTAAAATATAATGAGACCCTGTTACAATATAAACAAATGACACCATTTTCAAAATGTTTGTAACCTAAAAGGTCTATAGAGCCCCACAGGCAATGCAACTTTTTTCTCTCTCTAAGACTATTACGTATCTTTTTCAAAACGTTAAACATTGGCCATATATCTGAATTATCTTATGCTTTTCGTGCAATTTGAAAATTTGAAATGGAAAGAGTTGTCACATGAAAATTAAATTGATAACATAATTTTAGGTCAGTGAAAGGATTTAACAAAGTGAAAAATTATAACGAAAACATTTACATATTCAATTTGATTTTAAAAACTGCAATAATTTACTTTAATGAAAGGGTGTATGACTGTACAGCATCAGCAACGTCAACGTTAAATGTGCCTTTCGTTTTAAGCTCATTATTCTGCACAGCAAACATAACTGGATCATCTGGAGTCTGTTATAAATAGAAAGGAATTTGTTTAACTGTGGTGGCTATAAAGTAAAAAGAAAACTTTTGAACTGAGGTGAATATGTATCATGTAAAAACAACAACTAAGGCGACAACAACCCAAATCACTCATATAAAAATAGCCATAAAGCAACAAATGATTGATAAACTTGAAATAAATAGCGTTTTATTTCCCGAATACATGATGTCATATTTGTTTGGTTTCATTCATCTAATGCCAGATTGGTTTGTAGAAAATATATAGTGGTTTGTTTCTGTAAATATGCTAACATAATTGTTTGTTTCTGTTAAAATGCTGGCATAGTAGGTTTTTTGTATGAAAGATGATATCACTATCTTGAAGAACCAAAAACTTTGTTATGGACTGAAACTTATCTGAAATTTTCTCAGAATAAATATAATAAAATAACACAAAGTTCACTACAATTTTATAAACAAATATAAAATAGAAGAATATCATTACTTAATTATAGCATGTAAGGACATGAAGCTTTGAAAGCTAACAGAGACATTTAGGAAGTTTTTTTTCTTTTACGAAATTATGTCTGAAAAAAACGTAATCGAAATATTACTCTTAAACCTTCATTTCTTGATTGAATTTGTCCAGCTTACACTTTTGAACTGTCTTTTATTACTGCTTAGATATTAAGATGAATATGAAAAGTGAATAGAGCCTTGTCGGAATATACACATGTTAAACATTTCAAATTATGAAATTTTCGCATATCCTTATGTGTAAAACACAAACCTGAGAAACGATTGTGTATGTAAGTGTACCTCCGTCTTCGTCCGAAGCTTCTAGTGTTTTTACTAAATAACCGTCTGTACTATCTTCATTAACATCTATTTTGTCATTATTTATTGGTGAAGTAAAGGAAGGCGCTAAATGAAAAAGATATAACAATAAACACTTAGTTTTTTTTAAGAATAATTTTTCAGTTATTATCAGCTTCCCAAGTAGTTCATTATAAACCTTAAAGACAGTTAATTATATACAATTAAATTCATTTTACTATCTATTTATCAATTGCTGTTATCTAATTAATCATATTTCTACATCTATATTCAGGAGCTGTGCATGTAACGTTTCTTGAATTCATATTTGTATCATAATTATTTACCTGTTAAAAGTTTGATAATTAGTTCTTGGTCAGAAGTTTTAGACTCATCTGGATCGCTATCCGAGGCTGTTACTGTCAGTGTGTAGGATGATTTTGTCGTGTAATCAAATGTTGCACCTTCTTTAACTATAATCTCGTCTTTGCTGGACCCACTGAGTTCAAATGATGATGCATCTGAGAAAAGATATAAATACATGTATAGGAATTGTGCGTGTTACAAGAAAACAACAAGAAGAGTGATAAGTGATCACATGTGTCGTCGGATTATAGCCAATTCATCTGTTCTATTGGTTCTATTGAGGGGGGATTAGACAGTTGTTCACTTTGTATCATGTTGAAGTTATTGTGTAGCAAGAGAAAACATTTAACATGCCAAAACGCACTGTTTTCATTTAAGGGCCATAATTAGCCAAAATCAATCAACAGGGAAACCGATTGAATATGCGCAAGTACTCGAGGTACCGATCAATTCTGTAATGTTTCACTCAAATTTCATAAGTAGTATAAGAGATGTAGAAGTAGTTCGGACACAACTTGAAAACATAAAAATAATTAAAGGGCCATAACTATGACGAAAATCATTGAACCAAAAATGCTGACGATATACACAACTCAACTTGATACTGATAACTTCTGTACAGTTGATATGAAATTGCACCAGTAATTTTTTAATAAATTCAACAGACAGAAGGACAGACAGGCTGACAGACATGCAACAGCAAAAGTATGTATATAAGCCTGGCTTATTTGTTATAACATGTATCAGTTGTTTAGTAGCAAGCAACACAATACCTACACTAAATGAAACCGGTTTGGATTTGACGTTGGACACAAACTCGATTTAGGGTATCAAGCTGATTAAAAGTCATCGTAGATATTGGCTGACTTTGTTATATGATTTTATACCTACATGTTACTGTTTATTACCCGAACATTCTAGCTTATTACATATTAAACTATTAAATACATGTACGTAAAGAACAACTTATTGCAGCATTTCAGGCATAAACACGCTAATATGAATTTAAAAGTAATTTAAATGTATTTTTGCTATCTTTTTCAACGAATAAACTTGCACTACAAAATCGAGAATAAGGCTTATGCTAGGATTAAAGTAAAACACCGTCTGTCTGTCTGTTGCATTCATTTTTTTCACATTAAATATTTTACTTCTTATCAACAAAAAGCATTGAAATATAACATAATGTTTAACACTTACCATCACCACTTAAAGAATAAGATACTTTATTGAATTCTGGATCACCGTCTTGGTCGGATGCTACTAATTTAATTACTGTTGCACCTGTCAATTATTCAAAAGGAAAAATATTTATTTACGTTGATCAAAACAAACTTGGTCACACGAATAATGATAATTAGCATTTAAATGATCGTGATTTTGGAAAGATAGGTTTTTTCCGTGGTGAAAATCCTAAAATATATTTTCATTATGTTGTAATTTTTATTGCATTTAACAAGCACATCTACGTGTGGTATGTGTATCTTTATTTTTTTTGTTCATATGATTTTGGAGAATGTGAACATTTATAACTTTCAAATAGATACATTTTCAAATACTTCACGCTTTGCTTGTGTGATAATTATAAAATATTCCACATGTTTTTACTTTTAAAATTGTTCATTTAAAAAAAAACATTTCCGGGCAGAATAATTGCGTATGTTAAAGCTTTGGAAAAGTACGCTTATTGGGACTGTTTGAATAATGCTATTTTTGTCTACCGTACTTCAAAATTTGATCTTTATGAACAACGCGTTTAATTCTATACATACTAACCTTTTATTTATTTATGCGTTTTATAATGAATAGCAAAAAAGAGCGACAAAGAGCGTCAAAAATATCGTACATTAATATATGTAATATATTTAAAGTTATGTGTCTATATTTCCCTGTATTAGATGAACAAAGCGAAAGTCTCGATATGATAACATTGAAAACTGACCTGGAGAAGACGATTCTGAGATGGAAGCCTCAGAGGCACTTGTGAAAACTGGAGCAAATTCATTGTCATCTTCGAGTTCAATACTAGTTTCTAACGTTGATGAAAGGCCTGATACATCTGTTACTCTGAAATGAAGGAGGCAGATTAATAAAATTAAAAGCAAATTAAGCCCGATGATTTTTAATTAGCCCTCAACTCACCACACCTCTCCTCTTCATCCCCAGTGGGACATAAGGCCATAACCAGTTCCCTCTGATGATGAATTAGCCCTACATTTCGCTAAAAACGTTTTCCAGTGTAATTTCCATTACAACAAGAATTTGTAACAGAGTTACAAATGTCCTCCGCCTCGTGGAAGTTTTATATTAAGCATAAAATTGTGCAATTTCAAAAGATCGAGGTATGGATCTAAGGACTTTCACTCCAAATCTATGATCAATGCTAGATCTGCAAATGCAATAATAACTTTATTAAAGATGTACTATGCTCATCTTTGAGTAAAATATTTCAATCAAAGAAATTTATTAAAACCTATGAAATCCTTACTGAATATGTCTAATTTGAATAAAAAAATGAATTAATTATGTATTGGTAGTCTCGTTCCCTTTTACAGGACAAGTAAAGTTGCTCTTTTCTGAAAAACGACACTATATATTCATATTGTGACCACCTATAGTGTGTAGAGTTTTGAACACGAATTACCTACTTTGTGTGAAGTCAAAACATGAGACTGTGTAGCAATTACATCAAATATGAGCATAGTATATCTTGAACATAAAATACTTTTTATTCGGTTTAATAAATACAAAATGCTCAACTTACTTTAAAACAATTGCATAGCTTTTTACAGAGCCTTCCTTTTCATAGTCAAACGTATTGTCAGCCACGGTAGATTTTATTTTTAGGGTGTTACCAACTATTTCAAATAATGCCTTTACATCGTCACTCTGCAAATAAGAGAGGTGCTTAAAGATTTATTTTTGTTCAGAAAGTATTAGTCTTTGGTGCATTTTTTATTAGCTACTAGAAGATCATGTGCGTTTTCATTTTATACATATAAAGTTTCTCCTTAAAATAAACGCAAATCTTCTAGCGCGAATACGCTTCAACGGATAAAAACATCCACATTATATAAGAGACGAATACGGTACCGTATAGAGAGGAATATGGTACCGTATATTCAAGTGCATGACATCTTAGCTGTTTAATACATAGAATTTGAAAACGTGAACAAGAACTATTTAATATATATCCGTCATTCTTGAATTTTATTTCTTGGTTTCTGAAATAACTTATAGAATAGAAGTTAAGTATATTAAAACGTGTCTTAAAACGTGAAGGTATATAATAAAAGAATTATTATATTGTAGAAGGTTTCTGAGGTCATCCATTTTGCTATTTGCGCATGGATTTTTTTATCCCGCTCGACCTTTGGTCTCGCGAGATATCAATTTTTCAACGCTGCTCGTAACAAAGCCCCAAAAGCTTCTACAACATAATATTCCATATATATATATATTAAAATATATCACAAATAAGTATATTTGGTATATTGTGTATTATGAACATCACTTACACTACCCTCCATGCTAAAAATTAAAGAACTATCATCTGAATCCTCATCATTAGCATTTAGTGTCATAACTGAATCTCCGTTTTGAATATTTTCGCACATGTAGATTTTATGTCCGTCCTTTGTGCTATCCGGATCCGGGTCAACAAAAACCGGCGCTTGGATAGAAAAAAATGCAATGTACAGCTTTACTTATTCGTGCATACCACATATTTTTACGCGATTAACAACTATTTAAAAAGATACTCAGTAGTTGTAAACACTGTTCGAATATTTATTTGGTTTACTTAATATAGTTCTGCCCCGTGTCTGCTTAAAGATTCTGTATAACATGTATAAGTATTAAATAATCCTGATTTTAATTTCATTGCTTAATTTGATCGTAATTGGCTAATAATCAAGTTGCATGTAAACAAATTGAAAACAAGGCCAATTTGCAAAGAAACATTCCTATCGGGATTAAGGGAATTACAATACACAAACACACACAGAAAGGGAAAAAAAGAAGTAAATATAAGAAGAACTAATTTAAGGATCAATATTTGGATCAACTGTTAAAGGTGCATATTATAGGTAGAAATTAAAAAGAATCAACAAATCTTTTTGTTTTATTTGATCCTGATCGTGATTCTGACCCTTAAATTTGAGAGAATTCGGCAAGAGGTCAGCTTCCGGGAAGTACCCTAAAACGTAAAATCAGGGAAAAATGATCAACTGCTAAACAATAAAAAAACATGAATAACTGTTCGGCAAATACCAAGAAAAGGAGATTGAATATTCGATGTTATTATAAAAATACTAAAAAGAACTTACTATAGTCTGTCCCATCAAATTTGAATATTCATTTTTTTAAATATAATAGTAAAATAATTTAAATAATATCATGTTAACCCTGAGGCATGTATTTTTTTTTTCATAAATTTATATAGAAACCTGAGGCATGTATTTTTTTTTTCATAAATTTATATAGAAAGGGGAACTGATTCACTACATGTTCAGCATAGGTTTGCTTGTAACCACAGTGTCTACTTTAACTAACTCCCTCGCTAATGAGAGAACACAGACTCGCGTTCGTGGACAATTTAAATTATAAGAATATTATATCATGCTTTCTAGTTTGAGCAACCAAACATAGGCCTATACACTTTAAGCTCGTAAATACAGGTTTAACTTTCCGTCTCACAATTCAACAAAATGTCCAGAAATACTGGCACTGATTTGATATTATTAAGAATAAGTTTGAATTGGAGCGTTCAATAAAGGACATAAGTCTTTTTTTTGTAGACTCAAAGTGTTAAATATTATGTTAATATGAAGGGGAGATAGAGTCAAAGAGAAACACCGAGTGACGTCCTCGATTATTTTAACCTTCATAAAATTTGAAAATATTCAGTGAAAAAACAATTGCATATTTTTTGCGGGAGAAAAAATTCCGCGTATTGTGTAGCTAAAAGAGAAGTATAAACAGAAATCTTGAAAAAACGAGATAATATGTAGGGAAATCATTTCTGAGTAATATATAAAAATAGTTTAATAGTTTAACATAAAATCAGATCGAAGGTTATATGTGAATTAATGAAAGAAGTATTGTACTGTTATAGATTCATGTCATTAATTAAGTGTATTTAAAATTATTTAAATATTATCAAAAATTTTATTGTTGATATATGAATTGAATGTGTAAAGGTATACAAAAATTATTTTTAAATGCCATCAAGACAAATTTATCTCAACGCTTAAAATTATCTGTACGAAATGAGGTAACTAGAATAAAAATCCGGAAACGAAGTGATCCCTTGGAAGCATTAATCACAACAAAATATATCCATAAAAAGCGCGAGGCATTTTTGTTACGTCATATAACTGGTAAATTGTTGTTGACGTAAAAAAGTCTTTTTTCGACATAAATCCATTTTCAAGAGTTATTGGCGTCCGCGCCGAAGCGCGGCGCTCTTATGGAATGAGATCAGATTTTGTGAAAGGGCGACAGCAACTTCTCGAGCCTTTTAGTCGGTCATAATAAAAGCCGAAAATTCCGATCGGTATGAGGGTGCTTGATTTTTAAATAAGAATGAAATGTCGCGATATGTTACAATGAATTTTCGCAATGCAAACATTTACAAATGAAATAACCTTTTCCGTCAATAAATCGCGCTCTTCGGGGTTTTTTATTTATCATTTTGTAGTACACAGTCGGTTATCATGTCATGGTATGTTATTGTTGTACATGTATCCTAGAATGATCAGTTGATGACCTAAATATTCCAAAAACCTATTTATAGATATATCTTTTTATCACTCCTATCGGTAAATGCCGGTCTCTCCCGGTCTATTTTGACCAGGATTTACTAGTGACCGGCGAATAGTACCACACGTTATATTGTCCGGTCTCTCCCGGTTTTGGAGTAGATGTTTGATATCGTTACAATTAGAAAAAAAACAACAATAGCATGTTTCATTTTATCTATATGAGATAAAAACAATAAATATGTACACGGATTTATATGTAATATAAATCCGTGATATGTACAATAATTGAGAAAAAGGTACATTTTTATGGTATTAAAATGACATTATCAACTTTGAACAATTTTATTTAATTATTCAATTTGTTATCCGTGTTTAGTAAAGATGCCGAGGAATTATTCAAAGTTACAAATTAGATTTTATGAATTATTCAATTGATCGATAATTTAAAAAATGATAAAGAAAAATACAATGTACATGTACATGGTTTAAGAATAAACAATATTATATATTGAAAGATAAACCATAATTTACTGACTTTTTCCAGTTAAGCTTTGACTTATAATCGTCGGTCAATATGACAATTGAATTCTTAAAATTTATTTTACAATTTTAATAAAAAAGAGTAGTAAAAACTCAGTATTAAAATAGCACATACACACAAAAAAGAATAAAAGAAAACAATATTCATAAAATTTGTATTTTTTTTTAAATTAAGATTAATAGATATTACAATTATTGTATAATAAACAATTATGCTCAACATGATCAACATGGTAATATAACCAGTGTCATATTTTTACTAACTTAAAGTGTGAACAGATACCTTAAGGGGGTCTTCGCTAATAGCGATAACATGTACATAATAAGGGACAAATGTGTGGTACGTGTTGATCATGCGTTACACATATGGATTATAAATGATTGCATACATGTATATCCGTTGCTATTAATAACCACGATCATAATTAAAGAAATAACAAGTAATATTCTAATCTCTAGCATGCCAATCAAAGTTCATAATGAACAATGTCTTTCGTCCGCTCATTCATAAGTGGTATACATTTCTGGTAGTTTATAAGAATATTTGTAATCATATGTGTACTAGTTCATCTTCACTTGCTGCATTTCTTGCTTGGACGCCCTTTGATGCTTTGCATCAATGCTTTTCTTGTAAACATTGTGATGTTGACAACTAAAATTGATGGGCCGTTCTTGCATAATGGATTTTGAACATACTGAATTATGATGGGTTTCATTTACATATTTCATTTGCTAACCCAGATAACTCCACAAATGGAACAATGTTTTAATAATGAGACGGATTAACAGTTTAAAAAATATGGATCATCTTAAGTGTAGGAGTCTGTCATTCAGGAGTTTTGAAGTAAAAATATGGGATCTACGGAACTGGATAGAAACTGGCAATGAAGAAATCTTCAGAATTTATCGTGACGTTTATAGAGATATCGTCGGGTGCCCTAAATTCGTCCCTGTCCTAGAGTCAACACCATTCCTTTGTATGTCAGAAAGTCTCAACAAATTGTTCTTAACAGAGAAAACAATTGGATATATTTAACATAAGTAAATTTAATGTATCTGCCACATTTCTTCAACATAGCATGCTTGGAGCATTAGAAAATAGATATAGAAAAAGAAGCATTGTAAAATGCTAAGGGTGACGAATCATGGCCACCCGAGGACATATTTCGAAATTCATAGGGATTCTATTCAATTTCTAGATATACTCAATGTGACTCGATTTTCTTGTTGCTTATTTTACATTTCTTAAAGTGTTCCATCATGCATTCCAATTAAACTGTTGCATCTTGTAGATCCAGCTTTGTAAAATAATCATGAAACGATCCAAGAACATCATGTACATTTTAAAAACATGACACATGCTTTCTCCCGTTCATCTTCAAATGAAGAGTACTTCGGCAATGGGTACGGAAAATTAACAACAGAGACTTCCCGTAGAGAAATTAAACTTTCCTTTTACAATAAAAGTAGACATTTGAACGAAAAATCCTGAAAAATCTCGAGGGTGATTTTTTAGTTAACAAAAAAGTTTTTTTTTTATTCAATGTCGTTTTGTTAATTCATACTAGGCAAAAGTTCGTTTCCATTTTTAATGGGGCAAACTATAGTTTTAATTACAACAAGGATAACTGTTCGGCAAATACCAAGAAAAGGGAAAAGGAAATTAAATATTTGATGTTATAATCAGAGTACAAACAAGAGCACCGCTAGACGGAGCATTATATGCCCGAAAGTGTTTTTTAGTAAGAATGAAGCATTTGTAAGGCATGGGAAATAAATAAAGTATATCCAAAGCATTACTATCAAGAACTAATTCACTCTTACAGTAAAATTCCATTTATTACCTTGCATCAAAAACAGTTTGTTCCTATACATTACAAAGTTCATAATTATTTTTAATTTTTATTTACCTGAAAGGCCTGTTACAGTGATAGTCAATGTTATATCTGTCGGAACATTATTATCCTGGTTGGCTCTGTAAAGTAAACACGAAACAAGTGTAAATGCATCTTTTATAAAGTTACTATATATAACACAAAGGTAAGTAGGATCAGTATTGTTCTTAACAATGTATAATGGCCACTTGACTTCTTTTCCCCCAACATTTTGACAGAACTTAACTGTTACTTCAAGAACAATATAGTGATACATTCTAAAACTAGAATATGATAATACATTCTGAAACTCGGAAATGATGAGCATGAATATACTTCATGTCATTGGCACAACCTCAGCAAGTTTGTATATGACATTGCTTTTACATGATTATGAATTGTTTTTATATACAGGATGATGCATCTTTATTGTATCTTCAACGGAAAATCGAGTTTGCTGACGTTAACATATTGCTGTTTATGGTAGCAGACGTTTGGTTTGAGTAATCATACATTGCGATGAATATATTCTTTGCTAGAAGATGGATTTTCGTGTCCTAAGAATTGACTTGTATATACTGTTTCAATGCCTTAACCGGGGAAATGTGTCATAGGGTTTAATTATTTGATAAACGCATTATACACGTAAATGATATATATCCACTTACATTAACTAAACATACACCAGCTGTACACTATTTATAAAAGTACCTTATCTAAATGATTATATACACGTATTTAAATTAATATCAATCATACACTTATTGATAACAATAATATAAAATATTATTAACCACGTAAATATAAACAGATTCTAAAGATATTATGGACTAAATTGATATGATTGGATACGATAATGATTTCTTTTGGCACATGAGTCGGTTAAAAAATCTGAATGTTCATTGGGTTTTTTTTCTATTGGTTTGTTTGTTTCCTTACAATACAGGTAAAAACATATATACCCGGGGGACAGTTAAAATTTTTTTTACTTTCAGTGTTTTAAAACCTGTTTCCCTTGAATTAAAAATGAGATCGATAAAAATCCGGTGCACACTAAACGTCCCCCTTTGCACTACACGGGTCCTTCCCCATCGCAAAAAATTGCGAACCTACGGGGAGATGGGGAAATTTAAAAAAACTAAAAAAAAAAAAAAGAAAAACTAGTAAAATTTTTAAGTGCTATATACTTGCTTTTACACCGCCTCCCAATTTTTCATAGAATGATATTCAAAATAAATTGGTGTTCTTTTGCTGCTTTTTTCCAGCAAAAGTGCCCTTTTTGCATGTCAAAGGGGTACTTTTTTACAAATTTGGCAAAATGGGGTCCCGAAGGGAAATGCCCGGTTTTCGACAAAAAATTAAAAAAATGGGTTAAAGGGCTGAAAAATTAATTCGTTTTCATTAATGTGTGCAAATTTATAACATAAAAAAATATGTTTAAAACACAAATTTTAAACTCAATTAAAATTTTTAAATATAAAATATAATTTTTAAATATTCATATGGGGTTACATACTTTTTAAAAATCCTTTGATCGGTTTCTTAATTAAAAAATTAAATGTATATAATAAAATTTTAAATTTTAAAACTTTTTTGTATGAACGGACATTTTAAAATTGGGGAAATCGCAAACCTTCCATCATGTAGTTTAATTGACTTGAACATTGAAATTTTAGATGAATTTTATATGTTTTGTTGATTAAATCTTTTTAATTCATCTCTTTGTTTTCTCAGTTGAGTTTTAAATTGCTTTCCCCCGATTCTATTTTTTGGAAATTAAAATGATGACATGTAAGTATTAGCTAAAATTCTTGTATTTTTCCGTTTCTTTATTTTAAACCGGGCAAATACAGTTCCCCCATTTTTAATAATAACTTTTTCCCCCACCTTTGATGTAAGTAATTCCCTTTTCAGACAAGACGTACCCCCTTTGCACCCTATCAGTTTTTCTACTTTTTGTTTTGATATTAAAATCCTTAAAATTTTCCGACATATTGCCCCAAAAATCTCACTTTAAAAACAGAAAAACCCATACAGTTGCTAAAGCAGCATGTTAAGTAATGATCTGTTAAAAGACGTATACACACAATTCTATTCGGGCCGATTTTTAAATATTTTTAATATATCAAATTTTTTAAAATTTTAAAAAAACCCATTTTGATGAAAAAAAACCAACAACCCTAAGTTTTATTTGTAAAAATGTAAATTTTTTAAAAAAGAATTACAACTTTTATAAAAGAAAAATACTCTAAACATTAAATTTAATATTTTTCCCGTAGGTACTTTTTAACGGTCAAACGTTTCAAGTTGCTGACAAATTGGACAGAAACACCATTACGCCGTTTTATCTAAGAAAAGGGGTCCAGTTTTCCCATTTGTCCTGTCGCTAGTATTCAATAATAAAAAAATAAAAAAATCTCGTTATAAATTACAAACACAAGTGACTTATAATAAGTAACAAAGACAAACATATCACAATTAGCAACAAACACAGATATCTTATAAAAAACAAACTCAAATATATTTAGCAACAAACACAAAATATCTTATTACAAGCAACAAACACAAACTTATATCTCATAATAAGCAAAATCAAACATAAGTATCTTTTAAAAACAAACTCAAATGTATTATATTAACCAACAAACACAACAATCTTACCATAAAACACAAACACAAATATATCTTATTATAAGCAATAAACACAAATATCGTATAATAAGCAACAAACATAAATGTATTATTATAAAATAAGAAACAAACGTAAAAATATCTCATAATAAGCAAAACACAACAATAAAAAACGCAAAAATATCTTATAGGAAACAAACTCAAATATATGATATCAGTAAGGAAAACACAAACACTTTTAATATAAAAAACAAATAAACAAAAATTAAATTGTAAATTAAAACAACAAAACCAAATTTTAACTGACCAAAGGGTATTTTAAAAATTTTCAAATTTTTAAGTTTTTTTGAACTTTTTTTGAAAACCTAATTGTCAAAATTTTAAAAATTTGGTTTAAATATTCATTAAGCTCATTTGCGAAACAATTAAAATGAATTTATTAAATCATTTTCAGTGGGCTTCCAAAAACCAACCATACTGGGTCAATAAAAAACATGGGGGATGCATTGGGGGCTCAAAATCATGCCCCTGATTGGGGGGGGCAAACACCAACACTTTTTTCTTTAGGGTTCCTCCAATAAATTTACAAAAGAATTATTTGCGCGATACTGTGGAAAAAAAAAAATTCACGAGGGAAAATAGAAAAATCAGATTTATAGTATAATATTTGTAACCGTTACTACCTTTTACAAAGATGTTTATCTAGGACATATCTCATACATAATATAACCCATTCTTAAAACGAATTTTTGAAGAATAAAGTATTTTAAGTATTTACCAGGTGATTGATCTGTGAATGTGATAGTTATGGTTAAATCTGATTGTCCCTGATCTGACTGATACTTTGCTCTGTAAAATATGCAATGTATAAACAGTGAATATTGATAGCCGAAAATTGTTACAAAAATGTTGTTGCCCTTTGGATAAGATTTGTCTCGGTTAAATAAACGTTGTGTTAAATATTTTTACCTCGCATTTTCCAGACCGTTATTTTGTAATAGTGTGATTTAATTATGTGTATAAAAAGCCAAAACCATGTACAAAGAATCAAAATCGAACGTTCTAAAGGTATTTAGGGTTGCTATAAAGAGAACTGTTTCCTATGTATGAGTGTAAGAAAAAAAAACAAACACAAGAGTTTTAGAAACACACACAACACCGTGTATCAGGTTTTTTTTTCCGAAAGGATCTAATTTTTGCTATATTCGCGTACACTGCATATCGCAGAAAATATATTCGCTAAACTTTAGTTGAATTTCATACAGGGATGTTGCGAATTTCTGTAATTTGATAACAATTACATACCTTACAACAACAACATACGAAGATTGGGATACGGAACCCGCCGCACACGTAAGAATTGGATCAGAAGCAAAGTTCGCACCAATAGTAAATCCGGCATTCGGGGTTTGAGACTCTACACTGTTAAGGTAATACAACAAAAAGAAACATATAATTACACATTGTCGTTCCATTATTTAAACGACAAAAATGAAGAAAAGAACAACAAAAGTTGAACAACCAACCAAACAAAAGTGCCATGGCATACCGGTATGTATAAATATACTTTGTTATTCAATTAATCTTTAATTTTTTTTAATAATGAGCATTGTTCAATAACATGTTTTTTCATCCATGCTTAGCGACATTTACATTGTTAAAAAAAGTTGTTTCGTAAAACTGGAAGGACTTTCGTTTCCAAATAATGCCAGTTGAATAAAACAATTGAGATACAGTAGCCGTGTATTAACATTTAATTTAATTGGTAATGAGCATTTAGTTAAATAATATTGACTTATCAATAATTACCTTATTCATAACTGGATGTGCAAAGTTAAAATGGTAAAAACATGCTGAGGAAGGAAACACTTGACATTCACTTAATAAATGTCCAATATGAAATATTAGTCACAGCCTATATGCATCAAGAAAATTTAACAATATCTACATGAATCTTTTGCCTTTTTGTCATAAACAAATAGAAAGTGCAAGGTTCAAAGTGTGATTAAAAAAATGGAAATAGAGAAATATCTCGAGAGTAAAGTGAACATTAGTACAAAAGGCAAAGATTGCAGACTCGTTTAAACAGAGTCTGTCCGTGGTGAAAAAAAGCAAAAGATGTAACCTCGCCCACGCACCCTAGCACCGGCTTAATTTGTAAACAATCTTCAATAAAATAAAAACTAACGAGTATAAAACAGTGTCGCCAGTCTCTGACGTTGCAGATAAGTCGGTGATTTCTGTACAATCTGAAGACGTCTTAGTGAATGATGTTCCTGTGTTCCAGGTTGGCGGGTCCTGTCCTGTTGTCGATTGAATAACAGCAAACACTAAAATTATAAAATTAATTTAAAGCATAACAGTATCATTTAAAGGTGGTCAAACGCTTCTAGTATTCATTTCTGGTGAATAAATGTAATCCCTCATCCTACCTAGTAAATGAACTATTCTGTTCTGCAATGATAAAATGAATGACGAAATAAAGAGACATGTTACTTAAAGTGGATTGGTCTACACAAGATTTTATCCGGGGCTAGGCAATGCATGTTTTTCAAAGCTTACTCATCACCCCGCCCCGTGACAAACTTTTAATAATATTTTTTAGTTAACGGTGCACTACTGTTCACAATAGATAAGTCAATCTGTTGGACTTATTTTTCAAAGCTGTAGCTTTAAAATTTGTTGGTATCACTGGAATAGCTGGGAAATCCCATGATATTTTGAAATAAGTTTTATCAAGTTTATTGAGATACTTTCTATGAAAATGAGCATTTATATGATAAAAATATATTTTTTGTCTGTTTGTTTGTTTCTTAAGTATTTACGTCATACCGATACAGTATATGTTCCAGCTTTACTGTTGGAGGAAGACCCCAGGTGTCCTTCGATCCGTGCATTATTTCAGGCACGAACGGGAATCTGAGTAGAACCACGGTGACCGTATATTTTGTTCAAACCACAAGAAGAGCTGCAATGTCCACTTTATTCGTAAATAAGAGAGACGCTTTATATCGACATATGCAAAACCAATGACAGATTTTAATGTATAGTGATAATGAAAAAAAAACACAACATATATTTGCTATCAAATGAAAATATTGTAAAATATTCTGCCAAAGCCTGCTTATGAGGCGCAAGTTATTATATAAGGCTATTTTACACTATGAACATGTATCATAGTCAAACTTTGAATATTATTTAGGATGCGTTTGTTTTATATGTGAAGCATAAGTTTTATTGCTGCCACATATTTCCGCTTTTGACTGTTTGAAATGTTTGTTTTGTTACTGATGATCATATTCTTAGTCTCTTATAACTCTTTTGGAGAGGTTTGGTACATTGTACACGTATTTCTTTTATAACTTTATTAAAATGTATTAATATACATGTATGTACAAAAGTGTTTGTTTGTTTGATTGGAATTACGTCACATCGACACAGTATAGGTCATTTGGCGACGTTCCAGCTTTACTGTTGGAGGAAGACCTCAGGTTCCCTTCCGTGCATTATTTCAGGCATGAACGGGCACCTGAGTAGAACCACCGACTTTCCGTAAGCTAGCTGGATAGCTTCCTCACTTGAAAGAATCCAAAGTCCCTGTCGGGATTCGAACCGACAGCGGTGAGGGGCAAGTGGTTTGAAGTCAACGACCTTAACCACTCGACCACGGACGCCCCACAAAAGTGAGACCTAAATGAACAAATTGTCATGTCTTGTTTACATGTTATTGGATGGTGTATCTCACATTTACCAACAATATCCATATATAATTCTTCCAAAAGTTTGTGTCATGTATGTGAATACTATCAGTACAGGTTAATACAGACCTTCCGTTATGGACCACTTTAATTTAAACATGTGCAGTTGTCGACAAAAATGTATCTTTTACAGTCTGATATACATTTTTATCTTCTTTAATTATATTACTTGTACAAATACATTTATTTTTCGCATGGTGGACTGGAAAGCCAAAAAAACTTAAATGATGATAACTTCCATCAAATAGTCTCTATTAATATGCTCATAATAATAGAAAAAGCCTAATATCAGTGTCTAAATAAACGAAGAACGATCATTTCGAAATTGGTGTTTGAGCGTCAATACAGTTATATAACGTATGAAAAAAAACAACAACATTAGTTTGATTGAATCATATAAAACATGCATTGATCGTTTGTTGGAGGAATATAATTGAACCTCAGATAAGCAAACGTGTACGATAATTTAAGCTGCAAATCAGTTTTCATGACTCATTTAGATATTGAAAATACAAAATTATATTAGAAAATATCTTCTTAATACATGTATATATCTTACCTAAAATGACAAGAAACGCTAGGTGTAAGAATATACATGATATAAGAATCTTACACCGGCTGCCGGTACAGACAGGGATATCTAGCTCAAGGTGACTGTTTACGGCGATAACGAGTCTCTGCCGAGTTTCCGCTAAAAAGTTACCGAGAGCTAGATATTCCCGTCTGTACCGACAGCCGGTGTTTGATTTTTTTCTTTTTATTCTCATTACGCACTTTTTTCTTAAATAGTAGCGTATGAACGTACAACTTCATTCATGACGGTTAATTGACGTCATCCTAAGAACGCAATTCATTCATAAAACATGTAAAAGGCGCGCAGCAATGACGTCATTTAAAGCACACGACTTGTATTACATGGGGGTGTAAGACAGGGTTTTCTAGCACCGGTAGATAATCCTGTCTGATATGCAAGAAATACACTTATCTTAACATAAAATAGTTTTAACATAGTTTAACTGATACAACAGTAATATCTTTTTACATCGAATTGCACTGCCGGGTGTTCTTAATTCGACCCTACAGTCAACACATACAATTTTCTTTTCGCTCCGAAGTAACATAAGATGTCCGTTTGAAAGAATGTTATAACATTAGTTTAAAAATAAAAGTGAATTTCATGTATTTGTACACTTTCTTGAACATAAAAAGTTCAATATATTAGATTTAGTGTATCAAACTTGCACTGTGAAAATGTTTATGGTAACAAATCAGGGCCTCCTGTGGAAATATTTATTGAACGAATCTACACAGCCTCGCAAGAACTTTTAAAAATTGATTCAAAAGAAATAGAAAACGTTACATACCTGCAAACATAACACGAACATGAAATGGTACAACCATCTTATGTAGTCTGAAAGAAATAAGATCACATAGTTACATATTACGATATAAGAAGACGATCTTGTGTGTAATTACAATTTATTTTATATGTACCTACAAGGGCTATTTACAAAGTTTGAGAAGAAACGTTCCTAGTAGCTTTTTGTGTAGATTCAATCAAAACATTGACATTGTGGAGATATTTTCATTTTATCAAAAAGTAAGCAAATTGATAACCGGAAAAGGAATTTAGTTGCATGATATAACGAAAACTGAAACGTCGACACCAACGTTACGCAACGGCCCTGCATTGGAATGCACGTGACACCTAGTAACATCCATGAGTTAATTAATTAGGAGGGACCATTCTAAGTGCTGATGGTTGCGAGCGTTGGCGTTTACTAGTACTGGCATAGAAAATTTCGTTATGTATATTACAGAGTGCAAGATAGTGAGCGCAGTGGTGCGGATGAAAAATGAATAAGCAGGGGGTGTAATAGTTGATTTACGATGTCTGAAGAAAGACAATTAGGAAGAAAATATTATTAAGGATAAAGATCAGCTTATTCAATCCATTACACAAATGTACTTTCAAAATCAAACATTTGTTCCTAATAGTCGTAGTAAGGTTTTGGAACGATAGACAGTTGGAGTTAAAGCAGACGTGATTCTCGACGTTAAGGGTCTTTTTGTCCCCTTCTTTATGAGCAAGAAAGTAGCTTTCTTTTCAGCGTATTGTAATTATATATTTTGTCAGTGAAATAAAATTATAAATTAGAAAATGAGACGGTTATAGGGACACAAAACAAAATAAGACAGAATGATGTAGAAAACATTGGAACCTGTCCGAAGTCCTAAAGAAGGAAGAACCGAGCAATCAGGTAAAAGATTTGTTAATTTTTTCCTCAAGAAGTGCAGAGGGATGCTCCTCCAACAACAAGTCACGTAAGAATTATCTTTGATATTCAAACCTGCTAGTTTTAATTTTCATATATTTCATTAAAGGTATAAAATATGTGTTCATATTTGTTTACAAGAGTTTCTAGATCTAGAAGATGCATTTGACCCGCGTGAATTTCGATAGTATACTAGCTGGATCCCGTCTAGTTAAAATTCATGACAGCAACAAATAAATATATTTGATTACTGGCCCTTTAATTACGTACCTCAAGTGGACCCGGTATTCTTCTATGTAAAAATATGTATATTTGTATCCATAAGTAATATAACTAGCCACTTGTAACTTTAAAGAAGAATTCAACCACTCGCGCAATCATATGGCAGGGTATTAACGCAAAAAATATATCTTGCTTTATTACGTTACATCGTGCTTTCCAACTTGTACATCTTGCATTCTGACTTGTACATCTTGCATTCTGACTTTTACATGTTGCTTTCTTACATGCACATTCTGCTTTCTGCTGTGTGCGTCTTGCTTAATTGTATGTTGATATCGTTATTTAACAATCAATTATTATTCATTTGTTGATCTGGTATATTAATTCAAAAACTTAACCTGCAACTGTTTGTATTTTGGTCTATTTACTCAGCTTGAATGACAAATGTCATAAGGTAGAAATACGAATAGCCGAAAGCCGAATGCAGCAAGCATAAATACGACGCGACTTCTGGTGTAATAATATGTGACACCCAAAAAGGTGGCGCTACAGTTATATTCTCGGTAAAGTCCGTATGGCGGTTAGGATTCAGTTTACCAAACGTCCCTTTGTTTTAAAATTTCTATTTCCACTATGGAGGAAATAAAGTAAACATATATTCAAAACGATTTAACCATTTTTTTTGTATTTATTACTGAAACTCTTTGGGTCAAGTTATATTCATATATATAGATTATTCATAATATATAGATTTTAAAGGTGCGAGGGATGTGAACTATATCGTACATTCCGAATACAAAAAAAATAGAATTATACAAATATTTTACCTATTCTTAAAATCCATGCTGTTTAAAAAAATGTTTTTTTCTATTCATATTATCAAAAGCTTTAGTTTTTTTCTTGTTATAGTTTCCAAACAGACATGATTTGGCAACAAAGCTGAGTCATTATTTGCTTCTTTTTCGATTTGGCAATAAGTACAATTTTAGTGACTGAATATTGTAAAGAAGTCAAAATACATTTGTATTACACACCTCTACCTTTATGACAAATTATTTCACAACCAATGCTATTTTCTTTATGTTCCTTTTTTCTCTTTTTTTTCATTTTTTTAGTTAATATATAATTCTTTAACTTATTTATCATAAGCGTTTAAAATGAGTTAGGGTCAAATTAAATAAAATGTTTGATGTATTCAGATTAGGACATCCCTCTCTAGGAACTTATTGAAACAGTAACACTTTACAAGCGTGTCAGGTGTAGAGATACCTTAGAAGTAAATATCAAATTATCAAAATACAAAAATGAACTTACCTTGCTATTTTGTTGAAGAGTTCGGTCCATGCAAACAAATATTATTTATACATTTAAAGGTTTTAAGAAGTCCCAGTGCTAAACACTATCAATACAAAACATATAATTTATATATGTTTTTTTATTTAATATTCAATTATATTCAAATGGTTAAAAGTTTTTTTATATTATCTTGAGGTGGAAGATAATTTTGACCTATTACTTTTAACATTTTTAACAATCACAATTACTTTTTTCAGTGAAATTGTACCGTATTTGTATGAGCAAACTGTTGAATATATCTGAGATTTCTGCATGATACTTCATGGTACAATATTGAACATTCAAAACATTTAAATATCTCGCATTTACAACGACTGACAATATACGTACTAGGTTTATGTTATTTATAAATACATTTGTATGCCACAGTAAAAATATCAATTATCTTCGTAAGAGTTATTTTATATCATTTATAAAAGCATGGCAATTTGAACATAAACATCAGGTTAAAATAGTTTTATAAAATAACGCCCACTTACTAAAACATATAATGCTATTCTTTCAAAAGTTAACAGATATTAGTTCGAAACATATTCTAATAGACTAGTATAGTCGTGCTAACAATTTTACATAAAGTCATTTTTCAAAGATAACATGTAAACTATTACTTGAATTTGAATCTGCTTTCTTTTCTTAAAATATTTTTCTAAAGTGTGCAATTATAAAAAAAACTTGTTACAGACAGGAACAGTCTACTTGTCAAATTGATTGTTTCTCTGTTTCCAACCCCCCAAAAAATGTAAAAAGTAGTTTTGAAGAATTTGTATCAGGTCTTAAGCATGGGAACCCTACCCGTTTCATTTTAAGGAACATGTTACTATCATAGAATACGTTAATGGACGCATGTTTACTTTTTGAGTTATCATTGTTTTTACTATCAATGTCGACAATAGCCAAATAATGATTATCTTGGAAACAAAGAATAAGGTGCATCATCCCAATTATGTGTCATTTCCACATACATGTATCAAATTATTTTTTCTATAAATTCGATAAAACAGGATGCAGAGAGTTTATTTCTAACTAAGAACAATTAATTTTTTACTATTTCCGCTAATAAAACAAACTATTTTTTATTAAAAAGGATAGTAAATGGCATCGCATAATCTTCATCCCTATGGTCCTCTATCTATTGTTTCAAGAAGGAAAAAGTAAAAATAGATTAAAGGGAGACACAGGCAAAATTTTCATTTCTTAGTTTTGAATTTTCCATTCATTATTCTGTAAATATCCTCAAAATGAATACACTAGGCAGTCAAAGGAACAAAACTTTTCTCCATATAAAGAATCAAATTGTAGTTTCCTAACTTGACCCGCGTTGGTCAGGTTAGAGCGATAAGATTTCACAATAGTTGTCACAGTGAACTCTGAAAACGTTAAAGACATGCCAAAATGAATGACTTAGACTTGTTTCAATCATACAATATTCACAATATCTGTTATTGTATTTTTTTTTGTTCAAGTCACATGACTTGTTTTAAAAGTATTCGGTGATTCTGTTGGCGTCTAGATTTCGTTCAACATACATAGATATATTTACACTTCAAACCCAAGATATGTAGAATTAATACAGAAATTCATGCTGGGACTTTAAGAAATGGCATTTTAACGTGATTTGATTACACAAGATCAATTTAATATTTTTGTTATTATTTTGCCTAAGTATCCCTTTAAAGGATAAATCTAAGATTTTCATATACTCAATTACATTGATAAAATAGTTAATCATAGTAATGTAATAATTTTTCATATCAATTGTTAAAGTAATTGTTGGATTTTCTTCTTTTTTATGCTTTCTTTTTGTTTTGCTTTTATTTTTCTGCCTGCTGTCGGACTTTTTAAGGTTTAATTAACACGTATATTTATTTCGCATAACCGCATGTTGTATTTCATTACCTTGAGTTTAAATAAAGTTTTCTATCTGTGTTCCTTGCAAGCAGTATAATTAACTGGATTGTGTGCTCGCTTTAGTCATAAATTAAAACGTCTCGGACCTTTGACCCAGCCGGGTAGATTCCGTATAATAACGAAATGCTTCATCATGTTAAGTAAGTTCCTTTTCCATTTAAAATGTTTCGTATTAGTTAAAAAATTATATCCTTGAGGCATTGTATATAGTCGATTATCAGATACATAGTGTCAAATTTGACACTGAAACTTCTAATATATCATAATAAACAATATGTGATAAAAAATATGTTTTCAAAACAAGTAGAATTATTTCAATAATGTTTTGTGGAGTCATCTGTTTGTCATGTGGTCTATTTTGATGTTGTTCTGCATTAAATGTATTCATCTATTATGGTTATGTAACTAACAGGATAATAATCAAAGAAACTGTTGCTTTATATAAACAATGTTTATGAATTCTTACATCCGAAACAACACGCACTTAAAACTGGTATATTGTTAAATGAGGGTTTTATATATTTGATTGAAATGTAATTAATATATGAAATAAAATAATTATTCATTTCACTTAAATATAACAACAGCAAGAGAAATACTGTCATCAGGATAGTACCAACTATTTTCATTTAATTCTTCCAATTGTATT